GTAACACAGGTTGGTCTAACTCTTAAACTCATCACTGTGGCCGCTCTGTGTGGGGCCAAAGTGGCAGCAGCAGCTGGAAACTAATGGGGCTTTTATAACAGTTCAAGGAAGAGAGGAGAGTGGCTTGGATTGGCGGTGGCGGTGGCTGTAGAGAAGGCTGAAAATGGCTGAGTGTAGAATCTATTTTGAAAGTGCAACCAACCCACAGAATCTGCTGTCGTGAGAATAAAGGATAACGTCAGAGTTTCCGCCCTGAGCCAGTGGGTGAACGATGGCACCATTTACTGATATGGAGACACCTGAAGTAGGAGGTTTAGGAAATACAGATTTTGTTTTGGGCACATTGTATTCTATACAGAATCATTTAAAATGGTTACCAGGTCTATCAGCTGGTGGATAAATAAAAATGTGATATATCCATACAGTGGAATATTATTTGGCAATAAAAATAAATGAAGCACTGATAAATACGACGACATAGACGAGCCTTGAAAACATGCCAAGTGAAAGAAGCAGTCACAAAAGGCACATATTGCGTGAAATTTATACAAAATGTCCAGAAGAGGCAAATCTATAGAGACAGTAGATCGGCATTTGCCTGGGGCTAGGAGAAATGGGGAATGAATGCTAGTGGGTATGGATGGGCTTTTTGTTCCCTAGGGTGATGAAATGTTCTAAAATGGATGGTGGTGACAGCGCCAGGCTGCAAATATACTAAAAACCACTGAATTATTCACTTTAAATAGATATGTGGCGTGAGAATTATATCTCAATAAAGCCGTTATCAAATTATAGTAATCAAAACATTGTGAAGCTGTTTTAATAAAGGGTTTTAACCTAGTAAAAATAAAAGGAAAATGCAATGGTCAAGCGTGCTAGTCCTCTGTTAATCAAAGGAAAACTGCCTGTTCAGACTGTCCATATGCCACTACACACCTAGAACAGTGTTTGCTGATAGCAAGCAAAGTGTTTCTGAGTAATAACAGCTCCTCGGTTGCTGGATGCCCATAAAGCAGTCTTGTTTAACTCTTTTTTTAGGATAGGATTGTGTTTAGCTTAATATACACTGCCACCAGTTTTCCAAAGTATGGAAATCTGATCCTTGAGAATCTGATGCAAGCTATGTTTCTTCTCTCTCCAAAACTCACATATGCACATGCAAAAGTATGTGCAAAAATATCGTATATATTTTCAGGTGTAGAGGCTCTCTGAAGCCTACCCAAGAAGTCCAGTTTCTATAAATTAAAGCATTGGTACAGGGATTAACAGTGGCTTTCGTTTATTCGTTTTTGTGCTCAGCAGGGTCATGTGCCCAAATTTGTGAATTGACAATTTAGAAAACCTGTCGTGTGGCTGGGGGTGTGGGGGTATAAGTGGGTACGATGTACTGGTGGCACGATGTACTGAAGGTGAGCATAATCCAAACCCTGTGGCCCAGCAGCTCCGCTCCCAGTGTACGTATCCAACGGAAATGCATTCTACATCCACCGGAACACATGTGCATAAGCAGCTCTGCTTATAGTGCCTCAAGCTAGAACCCAAATGTTCAAAGTAAAATAAATGATCACAAAAAATATTGTATGATTTCATTTGTATGAAATCATACAATATTAATCATACAATATTATTGTATGATTAATATTGTATTAATCATACAATATTATTAGTAAGCAAAACTAATCTATTGTTTTAAAGTCAAGGTTGTGGTTACTTTTAACGGGGGAGACAGTGACACTGAGGTATGAAGGGGGCTTTTGGGGAGCGGTAATGATCTGTTTCTTGACCTGGGTGCCGGTTACATGGGAAGGCTCACTATTCATTATTGAGGTGCACGTTTTCGTTTACTCTGATCTATGTACTTTCTCTAGTTATGTTATGGTTCCATAAAAAGTTTAAAATGAAAAGGTAATATGAAGAGTAAGACGGAGCGGAAGAGGAAAAGACTGAATTAAAAGGAGTCATCTAATTTTTAAAATGTCTCGTATTCCCTTGAGCATTTTAAAATAAAAATATTTGTTCGGTCTTTTAAAGGTTCATAACGTTCTTAAGAATCCAGTCAGCCATTCTGTTACCTTCTCTAGCCTTCCCCTCTTTGATCATGACCATCTCTTCCTTCCTGTTCCCAGACAGAAATCTAATTTAGTTTAATATGTTGGTTTAACCTAAGCTGTCTGAGACCTTTTTGGCCTCCACCTGGGAGTTCAAGAAAAGCTGTGGTGACAAAGCTGAGGGTAGGGAGTGGGGGTGGGGGTGGGGGAAGCTTTGGCTTATTATTATTATTGTTGTTGTTGTCGTCGTTGTTGTTAACCCACAAATATTTTGAGGTATTATGGCTTTAAGTGTCCAGAAATCTTTGAAGAAGTATTCATCTTTAGACTGGGGCAGAGCTGCGGTGGGGAATTTCAACATCTCTGAAATGCAAGAAAAACTTTGGCTTTGAATTTTTTTCCCACCAAACCAGGCCTATCTATGTGGCAGAAACACGAGAATTTGGTCAAGGAACCCTTCTGAAGGGGTAGAAGCCCCTAGATTCCTGGCTGAGTTTCTAAAGTAAGTTCAGATAAAATGTGTTGTTATACTTACAGCGGTTCAATTTGATTGGGAAAAAGTGATGGTTAGATGATTGATACTCAGGAAAAAAATTTTAAAAAAAGGAAAACTAACGGTAGTGAGTTGGGCTGCCAGAAAAAGGAGATTTCTGGCAGGAAGTGACCCTCACTTTGCCTGACTTGCTGCTTTCTGGAAGAGAGGGCTCCCTTCCTCACTTATCGACGAGAAGTCATATCTGGTCTGTCTCTTTCCAAGTTACATAGACACCTGGAAAACAGTGAGGAGAAAAGATAGACCAAGGCCTTGAGAAGCATGGGGCACATAGAAATGAAGATCCATGCAATGTGGAATAGATAATAGGAAAATATAAGAAACTACTTATCTACCTCATTTCAGCATTAAAACAATTTTCTTCTTTAGAGAATGAAACACACTTTCAGAAATCATACAAATATACGTTTATGGGCATTTTAGCTGTGTAGAAAAGGGGAAAAACACATTTAAAAAAAATCAGAATCCTTACAGTTTTATTAAAATTTGATGTCAGAAAACATGCATGCAAGAAGAGTAGAATGGAATATTTAAAGCACTGTTAAAATACCCCAAAAGCAAAAATAACCCATCGACCTAGAATTCTATATCCAGTGAGATCATCCTTCAAAAGGATAAGTAAAGACTTTCTCAGACTAATACTGAGGGAATGTATGTCCAGCAGACTTGCCCTGTAAGAAATGTTAAGTTATTCAAGAAGAAAAAAGGATATGTCAGAAATTCAGTTTTATATAAAGAAAAACAGAGGAGGAATAAATGAAGGTAAACAAATAGAGTTCATTTGCTAGTTTCAAAAAAAAAAACCCTTTTCGTCTACAACTTGAATATACGTCGTCTCTTAGAATGGTATCTTTTGGAAACCTAGAGATGTACGAAAAGCACACACATTCGTGAAATTCTAACACGTAACAAGTTATTCCGCACATACTGTTTCCTCTGCCTGGAATTGCCTCAGCTCTCTCTTCTCAACCTAAAAAGATTCGTTAAAACTAAGTTTAAATGGAAGCAAGAAATGTGGTTAAAAGGATGCTTTTGAACTTGGCACTGTGTCCTCTTAGGCGAGCCTCACTACCTGAGTTTTCTGTAAAATAACCTTATAGTGTTGTGAGGAATAAATGAGATAATGTACAGAGCAGTTAGCATAGAACCTCACGAGAAAGGCGGTCAATATGAAAGCTACTGTAAACAACTCCTCTAAGTCTTTCCTGACGTTCCCAGGAAGAATGTTACTCTTCTTTGTGCTTCCACATATTAAGCTTATACTTCTACTTGAGCACAAAGATGTTTTCGCAAAGTGATAACGTAAATGAGTTTGGGCTGAAATTGTATCTCATACAACTTTTTATTAGCACCTAGCAAGTGCCAGTTAATTTGTTAAGTATTCAATAATTTTTGGATGAATGAATTATGGGCAATAAAATATGAAGCCGTGTTCTGTTTTTAACATGCAAGCCCTGTGTTTAAAATGCAAGTTCCTGGGGGGAGGGGGTAAGGGGGTGAAAAACGGGAAGGGATGAAGAAGTACAAAATGGTAGTTATAAAATAGTGGCGGGATGTAAAGCGCAGCATAAGGAACAGTCAATAATATTGTAATAACTATGTATGGTGCCACGCGGGTACTAGATTTAGTGGGGTGATCACTTTGTAAATTGTGTGCCTAATCACTATGTTGTACACCTGAAACTAATATGATACTGCATGCCAACTGTAAATGAAAAAATTAAAAAATATTTTTTAAAAAATGTAGGTTCCTGAGCCCCCAATCCCAGAGGTTGTTTTACTAAGAACCTGCATTTTGGCAAGTACCCCCCTCCTTACTCCCCCAGAATAGGTTGTTTTGGTGCAGTGGTCTTTGCACCACAGTTTGAGAAACATTTTATAAAGGATGAATTATGGGAACAACGTTTTGTCTGAGGTAAAAATAACAGGGAAGTCTAAACAGTCCTAGTAACTACATTTCTTATTGTCTCTTGTGCTGTAGATGTTTTATAGGGAAGAATAAGCTAATTATAAGCACAACAATCTTCACATGGTAACTTATAGTTAGGCATGTCATCCACCATTTGGAACTGAAGACTTTCAGCTCTTAGATGTTTCAGGTGTCACTTACAAGTAACCATTAATAGGACAGAACATACTTTCTTTTCATGGTAATAATGGTATAATTGGCTAACTTATTTTGACACAGATGGAGACACTATCTGGATTTTACATCAGCCTTGATGTACCCCATTCCCTAGTCTATATATGTGATAATTGTTTGTTGTGTATTCTAATTTTTTAAACACAGGATGAAACAGGCTGGTATCCTAGTGTAACGGGGGAGCGTTACTGGCCTTGTGTGGAAAGTTCTTATTTCCCGTTAAAAGAACTGAGGTTGTAAAACTGCACAGAGAGACCAGAGAGCCAACAAGTATCTTTATTACACAGAAATGTGAAGGTCATGTGCATGAAATCAGAAGGTGCTTTGCAGTGAACATTACGCAGATTCAAACAGAGGACATCCTCATCTTACTGAGATACAGTAAAAACACGACCAAAAGTTGCAAAAAAGAACTCGCCTTCCATACCCCTGACCAAGCTAAAACCCTCCACAGGAAAACCAGGTTTCAATTCACGCCTAATTGTTCAAATGGAAACAAAAACTAAGTCAGGTAGAGACAATACATGGGCTGGTTTTTGTATTTTTAGAGAGCCAGACTCAAGCTCTATTCAACCGCACATTGAGAATTTGTTTCACGTTAAAATTTCTATCTCTAGTTACCTAAGTGATACCTGTTGTGAAAAATGGAAAAAAAAAATGTGTATCGAGTTGGGGAATTTTGTGGGGCCAGACTGGTTTGCGGAGGGGATGAAAGTTATAATCATTCATTTAATCACTTCTGATCAGGAAGATTTAGTATCAGATCTGGGTCACCTGCATTAGCCCTTTGACAGCCTATTTCTCTCTAACGGTCAAGAGGCGGGATCCATTTCAAGTACCGGCATAATAAACGCCTGACATTAGCACAGCTTGGTGCCTGTTCCTCTCTGTTCCCAAATACTGAACTTTATATCAGCACGCTTTTGACAAAATGACCCTCCAAATAGCATTTTTCTTAATAAGCTTATCTTTGCACTACTATTTTAGAGATTTGGCTAGAAAAATGGTTGAGTTGAAACAAGACTAATGACTAGGAGGGTATCTGTGGGTTAAATACAGACAAAACTACTTCCAGAACCCTTAAATATAGACAGAATCTATCAATTTATGCAGGAAACTAAAAATAGGGAACAAGAAGATCTGGAGTTTAGATACACTATCTAGATGGAGTCTGCGAGCTGCTAACTCAGCAACTGAAATTTACAACCCTCTCAATTCGATCAGAGCAGAGGGATTTAAAAAGCAAGCAGTCTGGAGGACCAGGACGGTCACATGTCAACAAGTGGAAATTCTGATGCCACCTCCTTCCCTTACAAACTGTAATGCTGACTGTGTGAAGGAGGTGGCTAAGAGATAGATACATTTTTTTTCATATAGACTTCCATCGTAATGAATGATGGAGTAGAATAATGCTAAGAAAGAGTATAGAATACACTTCTGGTTCGATGGCTGTGAGAACCAGATACTCAACTTTGGAATATTCTCATTAGGCTAGAATAGGAAAGTGAGAAAATCACTAGTGGGACATAAAATCCCAGAGACCACCTGCTCCAAAGATTAGTTTTGTTTCCATTGACTCTTATTCAGAGATAGTTATTTCAATAAGCTACAATACTTGGCAGAGTCTGAGAGACAAAGACGGAAAACATGTATATAAGATAGAAAACAGACTTTCAAAAGTAACCAATGATTTGCTCTCTACATCTCTTTCACATTCTGTGCCTGGGGAGCTCCAAATCCCACTTAGATAATCTTGCTTATCCAAAAGCACACTGGATGGAAGTAAACCAAGAAACGAGAGAAAATGTTTATTGGGTGTGTGTGGGTTCATTCAGTTTATTCACCTCTGGAATGGAAGGATAGGGAGAAATGTCTGCTTATAACGGTCAGGGTCTATGGAGAAGTCCTGGAGTTGCTCTCCCCCAATCACAAGTCTGATTCAAGAGAAGGAAAGGAAAATGATGAAAAACATCTCATCACACAAAACTCAGTGATGGTGTCTCTGACAGTCACCAAGCCAGCAGGGAAAAAGGAGAAACCCACCTGCTGGCTTTAGGATTTATTGAAGGCTGCCAGCACAGCCCAGATCATCTCCGTGGCACTGTGCTTTGTCCCCTCCACTTCGGGGTCCAGTTCTACTAGGTCCTTGGCTCGATTCATTGCCACATCATACCTGTCATCTGTCAGAGAGGAGAAGACATTCTCTAGCACATCGGAGGAGTGCGCTAGAACCAGGAGTGCTAGTGTTCGCTTGTCCATACGCTGAGGGTCATTTACCCACCGTTCTAGGACACTATCTTGGAGTTTCTTCACTAGTCGCTGTTTCTCTGTTGTATTGGTCACTGGATGAGTAGTCATGTCAAATAGGAGGAAATTCTGCTTCTCAGTGGTTAGAATACCCTTCTCGACGAGGTTCTTTGCAATTCGCTCTCTTACGTTTCTCAGCTGGTACTGTAATTTGAATGGGTTCCAGGTCTCGCCTACGGGGAAAAGAAACAGAAAACTTGGAACAACATTATAAATCAATTAGACCTAACAAGACGTCTATAGAACATTCTACCCTGTAACAGCAGAGTACACATTATTCTCAAGTATACACGGAACATCCTCCAGGATATGCTAGGCCATAAAACAAGCCTTAATAAATTTAAAAGACTGAAAACATACAAAGTATGCTATATCCAACCACAATGGAATTAAATTAAAAATCAGTAACAGGAGGAAATTTGGGAAATTCAAGAAACGTGGAAGCTAACAACATATTCCTAAATAACCGATAGGTCAAAGAAAAAATCACAAGGGAAACTAAAAAAAAAATACTCTGAGTTGAATGCACACGAAAACACAACATACTAAAACTTACAAGATGCAACTTAAAGCAGTGTCAGGAAGGAAATTTATGACACCAAGTGTTATGTTAGAAAAGGGTATGTCAAATCAATAACCTAACCTACCTTAAAAAACTGGAAAATAAGAGCACACTGAACCCAAAGCAAACAGAAGAAATAAAATAATAAATATGCGAGTGCAAATAGAGAAAATAAAAACAATAGAGAAAATCAGTAAATCAAAATTGGTTCATTGAAAAGATCAACAAAACTGACTAGCCTAGACTGAGCAAGAGAAAGAGAGAAGACTCAAATAACTAAAATTAGGAATGAAAGAGGAGACATCACTACTGACCGAAAAATAAAAAGGGTAATAAGGAGATAATACTATAAACAACAGTATGTCAACAAATTAGATAACTAAGAAGAATGAACAAATTCCTTAAAACGCACAAATTACCTAAACTGACTCAAGAAGAGAAAATATCAATAGATCTACAAGTAAACAGATTGAATAAATAAACTTTAATATATAAAGTTTTAAAACTTCCCACAATGAAAAAAAAATTTCCCACAATGAAAAGAGTGGCCAACGTGACTTTACTGGTAATTCTACCAAACATTTAAAGAATACCGATCCTTCACAAACTCTTTAACTAATCTATACAGTAAGTATTACTCTGATGCCAGAACCAGATAAAGACATCACAAGAAAACTACAGACCAATATCCCTTATGAATATAGGTACAAACATCTCAACGAAATACTAACAAAACAAATACTGCAACAGATAATAAATACTATGTAACATGATCGGGTGGGACTTATATAAGAAATGCAAGTTTGTTTTAACATCCAAAAATCCAATTATGTAATACACTATACCAATGGAATAAAAGGCAAAACCAAATGATCATCACAATAGACACAGAAAAAGTATTTGACAAAATCCAACATCCTTATATGATAATAACACTCAACAAACTACAAATGGGCAGGAACTTCCTCAACTCGATAGAAGGTATTTACAAAAAACCCACAGCAAGCACCATACTTAATGGTGAAAGGCTGAATATTGTCCTGCTAAGATCAGGAACAGGACCAAGGATGTCTATTCTCATCACTTCTATTTAGAACTGTTCTTCCTGGAGGTTTTAGCCAGGGCAATTAAGCAAAAATAAGAAACAAAGGTATCCAGGTTAGACAGGAAGAAGAAAAACTATCTTTATTTTTAGGTGACATGATACTGTTTATAGAAAATTCTAAGGAATACACTTAAAAATTATTACAACTAATACATGTTCAGCAAGGTTGCAGGATACAAGATTAATATATAAAAATCAACTGAATTTCTATACATTAGCACTGAACAACCTGAAAACACAAAATATAGACAATGATTACATTTACATTAGCATTAAAAAGAACAAAATATTTAGGAATAGATTTAACAAAATAAGTACAAGACCTATGCACTAATAATTACAAAACATTGTTGAAAGAAATTAAGAAGATTTAAATAAATGAAACGACATCCCATGGAGCAGAAGACATATTATTAAGACAGCAATATTCCCAAGTTGATCTTCAGATTCAACACAATCCCTATTAAAATCCTAATCTGCCTTATAGCAGAAATTGACAAGCTGATCTCACAATTCATATTGAAATGTAAAGGCCAAAATTATCTTGAAAAGAAGAACAAAGTTGGAGGACTCACATTTGCTGATTTCAAAATTACTACAAAACTACACTAATCAAGATAGTGTGATATTGCATAAGAACAAACATACAGATCAATGGAAGAGTTTAGAAATAACCCCAAACATTTATGGTCAAATGATTTTTCACAATGGTATCAAGACAATTCATGGAGGAAAGAAAAGTCTTTTCAACAAATAGTGTTAGGACAACTAGGACGCAGTATATACCCTCAAGCGAAAGAATAAAGTTGGAGCACTACCTCTCACACCATAACTCAAAATGGAGTTTAGACTTAAATAAAGAGATAAAGCTATAAAACTCTTAGAAGGAAATACAAGAATAAACACAGGATAAATCTTCACGACACTGGGTTAGGCAATGGTTTCAGAGATATTACATCAAAAGCACAAGCAACAAAAGAAAAAAAATAATTGAAATGTACCCAAATTGAAGACTTTTATGCTTTGAAGAACACCATCAAGAAAGTAAAAAGACAACCCACAGAGTAGAAGAAAATTTTTGTAAGTCATGTATCTGATAAGAGATTTGTATCTAGAATATATATTTAAAAAGTATAACTCAAAAGATAAAAATAATTAAAAAATGGGTACAAAATCTGAATACAGAATTCTCCAAAGGGAGATATATAAATGGCCAATAAGTACATACAAAGATGCTCACGACCATTAGTCATTAGAAAAACACAAAGAATATTACAATAAGATACTACCGCATACTCACTTGGATGGCTAAAAAAAAAAAAGCAGAGAATAATAAGTGTTGATGAGGATGTGGAGGAACTGACACTCTCACAGATTGATAGTGTGAACAAATGTAAAATGGTGTTGCCAGTGTGAAAACCAGTCCCTATTCTGTCCTCCAGAAGTTTAAAATCTAGTATGAGGTGATAGTGGGGAGACAAAAATAATATTTGAAGTGGGACCTAATGACAAACTGGATAAAGTTCTTTAAATGTTAATCATTGAGGTATGACGTCAGGAATGGCAGAGGAGGAAGGGCCAGAAATCCATCTCTCTATCTAGACAACAGTTGTACAAGCAGAATCTACCTTTAAAATAACTATTTTGGAACTCTGGAGTCTATTTGAACGTTTGTAGGTTCCAGGGCAAGGCTTGGCTGGCAAACTATGGTTAATGTCAATTTCAGCCTTCACGCAGTAGTGGCTACTTAGCTCCCAGCCCATGACAGCGATCTGTGGTTTTGTTGCAGCTTGCTGGGGTCAGGGTGGGCAATAAGGACATGTCCTTGAAATTATCAAGATCTCTGCTCTGATTATGGATTGCAGCTTCTAATGGCTGACATGCTGGTGAGGGTTGGCTGCCATTGTTCCAATCCCTACCAGCTGCAGCAGCTATACAGGGAGATTCAGAGGATAACATTGTGGTTTTTCTTTTACATTCAAAAACACGTGCATATACACTGTATATTAGAAAGCCACTGTGCTTGCTCAGGAAGAGAAGTAACTTCAGAAAAGATCTGAGTCTGAAGCTTTCACCTCATCTGATCCACGGCACGGAGACATTGTATAACACCAACACCAACACCACCCCCACCACCGACAAGAGAAAGAGCAAACCCTGGGAAATGGGGTAATCTGATTTTGAGATTAAAATGTCCAGTTTTCAACAACAACAACAAAAAAATCACAAGACATAACAAAACACCAGGAAAGTATGGCCCATCAATGGAACAAAAGATAATGACATAATATGTATCTGAGAAAGTGCAGATGTCAGATTTACTAGACAAAGACTTGAAAACAACTGTCTTAAAGTTGCTCAAAGGAAGACATGGACCAAGATAGGAAAAAATGTATAAACGAAATGAGAATATTAATAAAGAAAACAAGTGAAAAAAAATCAAATGGACCAATATTTATACTGTAGAAGTCACAGAAGAAGAGAGTTGTCACATATGAGTTGTCACATACTAGGAACCCTCAATGATTATCAGCAGATTTCTCATCAAAAACTTTGAAGGCCAGAAGGCAGTGGGCTGACATATTCAAAGAGCTGGAAACAATGTACCAAAACTCTATCGACTGAGAATTCTATATTCAGGAAAACTGTCCTTCAAAAATAAGAGAGATATTGAGACTTTCTCAGATAAACAAAAACTGAAGAAGTTAGTTACCACTATGCTTGCCCTATAAGAAATGCTTAAAAAGAGTCCCGTGGGTGAAAATGAAAGCCAGACAATGACTGGAAGCCATGTGAAGAAATCAAGATTTCTAATAATGGCAAATATATGGACAACTATAAAAGCTAGTATTGTAATTTTGGTTTGTACCACCACTTTTTATTTTCTATTTGCTTTAAAAGATACATATATTAAAAAAAAAACAATTATTAATCTATGTTATTGGGCACACAATGTATAAAGATATAATTGGTGACATCAAAACAGAAAAAGGATGAAACAAAGCTATATAGGGGCAGAGACTTTGTATGTAATTGACGTTAAATTGGTATAAATTCAAATTAGGTTGCTATAACATTAGGATACCAATTCCCATGATACCAACAAAGAAAACAGCTATGGAATATACACAAAAGAAAATGAGAGAAAGCAAAAATGCTTCATTACAAAAAATCAACTAAACACAAAAGAAGACAGTAATGCAGGAAATGAGGGACAAAACAGCTGTAAGACATATAAAAAACAAGCAGCAAAATGGCAGAAATGTTTGCTTATCAGTAATTAAATATAAATGAATTAAACTATTCAATCATAAGACTAGGATTGGAATGGACTAAAAAACATCCAACTATATGCTGTCTATAAAGGACTCGCTTTAGATCAAATTACACACCAATAACACTTATGAATATAGATGCAAAAATCTTTAATAAAATATTAGCAAATTGAATCCAACAGCATGATCAAGTGAAATTTATCCCAAGATTGTAACATAAGACAATCAGATGTGCAAAGAATCTGAACAGACGTTTTTCCCAAGAAGACATAAGGTGGCCAACAGATACATGAAAAAGTGCTCAGCATCACTGGAGAAAAGAAAATCAAAACCCCAATGAGATATCACGCATGTTAGAATGGCTATTATCACAAAGACAAGAAACAACAAGCATTGATGAGGATGTGGAGAAACTGGAACCCTCATGAATGGCTGTCGAGAATGTAAAAGGGTGCAGCCTCTGTAGAAAACAGTTTGGCAGTTTCTCAAAACACAGAACATATGACCTAGAAATTCTACTCCTAGGTATCCTAGGTATGTATCCAAAAGAACGGAAAGCAGAGACTTGAACAGATATTTGTACACCAATGTTCACAGCAGCATTATACACAATAGCCAAAAGGTGGAACTAGCCCAAGTGTCTATCAATAGATGAAATGGATAAACAAAGTGTGGTATACAGAGAACGGAATATTATTCAGCCAAAAAAAGGAAGGAGCTTTTGATATATTCAACAACATGAATGGACGTTGAAAACATGCTTAGTGAAAAAGCCAGACATAGAAGGACAAATACTATGTGATTCACTTCTGAGTTACCTAGTACAGGCAAATTCATAGAGAAAGAAAGTAGATGAGTGGTTGCCAGGGAATGGGGGGAGGGAGGAAGAGGGATGGTTGGTATGATGAGAAAGCTTTGGGTAGAGAGAGAGGTGATGGTTATGCAACACTAGGAATGTATTTAATGTCACTGAATTAATTGAACACTTAAGAGTGGTTAAAATAATAAATATTATGTTATGCATAGTTTACCACAATAAAAAAGTTAACTATATACCCAAAAGAAATGAAAACATGTCCACACAAAAACTTGTACATAAATGTTCATAACAGCATCATTCATAATAGCCAAAAAGTGGAAGTGACTCAAATGTCTATCAAATGAGATATGGATAAACAAATGTGTTATATCCACATGACAAAATATTATATTCAGCAGCATAGAGGAGCCCAGGTAAAACTGGGGAAAGTCTAATCAGATTGGTGTCTTGTATCAATGTCAACATCCTGGTTGTTATATTATACTGGGCAAAGCATATAAGAGATCTATTATTTCTTACAATTTCATGTGAATCTACAAATATCTCAGTAAAAAAGTTTCGATTAAAAAAAGTTGTTCTAGAAGGTAAAGTGGCTATGACCTCAAAGTGGTCTGTGAAAGATCCTCCTAAAATTTTATGCCATAGATCTAGTTATTGGCATTAAAGTTTTTGAACTCACCCTTAAGAAAGAAAAAAGGAATGAAGTATTAATACATGCCACAACATGGATGAACCTTGAAAACATTATCTGAAGAAGCCAGTCATAAAAAACTGCAAGTCGTATGATTCTATTTATTATAAAATATCTGGAATAGCAAATCTGTAGAGATGGAATGTAGATTAGTGGTTGTCTAGCGCTGGGCTGGAGGATTGGGGGAAATGGAGGGAAAACTGTGAATGAGTATGGGGTTTACTTTGAGGGAGATGAGAATGTTCTAAACTTAAGATTGTGATGGTTGTGTGAATATACCCATTAAATTGCACACGTTAAATGGGTCGATATATGGTACATGACTTACATGTCAATAAAGATGTCACAAAATTTCTTGTGAAGAATACTGTCAAAAAGCTCATGAGGTAGGGTGGCAGAGGTAAGGTTATGCTTTGGAAAATTTTAGGTATTGATGAACTGTGATTTTTCTGTCCCTCATTAGTACTACTTTTTCAGACCTTAAGAGTAGGAGAAAGATTACAAAGTGTGGGGTTTCTGAGTTCTGAGCCACCTTACCGGTGAGTAGCTCTATCCATGTCTGGACAGTTTCTGTGGGTTCAGTGGCTTTGATGTGTTTGAGAGTTTCGTCCAGCAAAACATCACCTGTTGGGCTGTCTGACTTCAGCAGTACCTTTTAGGAAAGAAGAAACAAGGGCCCCTGTTTCACTCACTTCATTCAAATTAAAATCTTTCAAATACCATATATACATCATTGGTTAAATGTTGTAGAAAATGCAAAGCAGCATAATATACTGTCCTTGTTCTCAAGTTAAAACATCTAGTATGGAGTGATAATAGGGAGACAAAAAGAAATGTGAAGTAGGCCCTAGTGACAAACTGGATATAAATGATAATGCGGAAAAGATTTAACAGTAACTCTTTGAGTCTGGAAAACCTACTTGTAAAACAATAAAGGTAAGAAAGTCAGCAAAAGAAGCCAGTTTTGGGGGAAAGTTAAGTTTGGTTTTAACTGATATGGGGTAGCCAAGGTGAAATGTCTAGCCAATAGTTAAATGTGTTCCTGGGGTAAAAAAAAGACAGGCCTAGGATTTGTGACTTCATATCATGAAAGTGACAGATGAAACTGTGAAGGTAAATGAAGTCCCCAAAAAGATACCAGTTATGCAAAGGGATACAAACTGGGATGCAGATGTTAAAGAACAAGGAATACAGGAAATAGGGTACAGCCAGAGAAACAAGAGCATGTATGACAACACAGGCCACGGATGCAGGTTCAAGTAGGAGGAGTGGTCAAGTGTCAAATGTAGGTTAAAGAGAAAAACAAAGACCAAAAAGCTGGTGATAAGTAGTTGCAGGAGAGTCTTGAATATGACAGGGAAGCTGTCAGTGGGAAAAATGAGTAAGGAAATGGAGTCAGGAGGATGCTACATGTTGGAGAGGACTTGCAGCAGATGCGAGGAGAAACCGGTTATCTGAGGGTGAGGAGGGTGAAGCAGAGACCACCTGACCCACACGTTTGCACCCTCCTTAGTAACACTGTTTCATGGGGTTATAGCTACAGCTATAGAGGGAGGAATAATCAACTGCACCTTAAATGTGATTTTTGGCATAAATTTTTTAAAAAGCATGAAATTCTTGTAACTCTTTAGACTATGGATACTTAGATTTCTCCCTCTGATATAGGATAATTAAACCTGTTCGACAATGAGACAGCTGAGTCAATGATGTTTATCTTGTCTCACTACTGAAATCTTCCTATTTCTTCAAAATGGACCACAGGTCCCTGCCCTTTCATAAGCTAGAGGATGTCCCCAGAGGACGCTGTACCTTTCTGTCTAGTAGTCGCTTCTTACGCATGGTGGGGGGTTCCAGATAGATCCGACCCCGCATGGCCAGCTCTATGAGGATGCCCCCTCGCAGGCCAGATGAAATGCAGTCATTCCAGAAAGATGTGTAACCCTAGAAAAGGGGAACAGAGAAAGAATGTTCTGAAAGAGATATGGACTTGCAGCAAGCACCCTAAAGAGCTGCTTTGTTGTGATTTGTTTCATGTCATGTTACATGAACTCAAAGCAAAATACAGAATAAGAGAAAAGAATCTCTCCTTAATTCGCCCCCTCTCAAATATGATCTTCTACCTGACTTTAAGCTCTTTGTGTATTACTGTGGTTTGCTGTTAGTTAATAACTGGCATGCCAAATTTTAATTTTTGAGAATTCTGGCTTCTCTGAAATCTCTTTCCTTACATTCTAAATTTCAGAGTGGGATACAAATAAGTAGAAAAATGTATACACCATTTGAGCCTTTTACTCCTCCAAGATATGTATTATTTATAAGCTATTTTGATGGATGGTGTAGTAAGATCCCAGTCCTGCCACTGACTAGTTAAGAGCCTTAGGTATGTTACTTAACCTTTCTCAAGTGCAACGTCCTCATCTGTACAATGAGGACACGAATATCTTTGTTTGCTGTGAGGAACAAATGAGATGTTATACATAAGAAAGCATTTATTACAGTGCCTGGTGTACAGTAGGCACTTAAATGTTATTCTCCCTTCCCTAGATGATAAAGAGGATACAAAGACATGTAAGAAATAGCCAGTGTCTTAAAATCTAGCTGGAAAGACCATACAAACTTGAGGAAAGTTCTGTGACAATATAAAGTTTAAATAAAAGCTCAATTTAAAAAGCAGAAGACTAGACAGGCATAAATGATGGTTGGAAGTTTGGTTTAGATGACAGTGTTTCAATTATAAATCACTTTTGGGCTACAGCAGTCAGAAATTCCTAAGGGACCCATCCGATTTGGGGTTTGAAGAATAGGTTAAATTGACAGAGAGGGAGGGTTTTCCAGATGAAGGAAATCGTCCAAATTCTACCTGCTCTTCAAAAGGGCATTTTAAACTAAAGTGTCAAGGACAGATATCTAAGATATGCTTAGAGAGCTAACTCAAGGATTTAAAGAGAAATTATGAGATTAAGTTGATCGTGGTCAGCCTTGTGGAAAGCCTTGATGTTTTCGACTTTTTACTGAACGGCAATGTTAAATCCTAAAGTTTCTGAGCAAGGGCTTCTGATTAACACAAGGAAGAACCATCATGGTTCTCAAAACTGTTTAACAGTCCTTAGCTAACTGGGGGGAGCACTCCTTCTCACTGGAGAGAAGTTGGGTGAGATGCTGGCAGGGAGGGTGCAGTGTGGCTTTAAAGCATCACCAAAACTAAATCGCCAGTAAGACTGGTAATGTCTCTAATATTTACTGAACACTCATTATGCAGGACATTTGTGCAAATGCATTATCTGATTGCATCTTCACAACAACCCTGTAAGGGGGCACTATTATCCACATTTTAAAGATGAGAAAACTAAGGCTTATGGGGGTTATATAATATGACACAGGGCACAAAGCTAAAGAGAGGCAAAGAATTTTTTATTACACATTTTTTTTAAATTGCATTTTTTAAAATCTTTATTGCTTTGGAAGTTATACACTCCCTTTTCTTTAGGAAAGTTATTCTTAACATTTAACATGCACGGCAATTTAAAATTAATATGAGATCCAGTTTATTTTTAAAACAGATTAATATATTAACCACTCACCTAGCTGACCAATATTTTCTTTTTTTAACCTCACAAATTAGACATTATTAGCACCATCATTATTCTATACAGGCGGCACTCGTTCAGATTTACTCGGATGCTTACCGATCTTGCTCACCATTCGTTCTTGCAGCTCAGACCTCCTTTGTGGTACCATTTTCCTTCTTCCTAAAGTAGAATTTCCTTAACTGAAAGTCTGTTAGAGGCAAACTCTATTTAGTTTATCTGAAACGTCTTTATTTTACCATCATTCTTGAAAGACAGTTTCTCTGGATATAAAATTCTAGGCTGATAGTTTTCTCTTATCACATTGAAGATATCACGCCTTCCTCTTCTAGCTTCCACTGTTGCAAGTAAGGAATCTATCATCCTTATTGATTGTGGTTTCTTTGTCGGTGATTTGCCTTTTCCCCTTGGTCCTTTAAGATCTTCTCTCTTCGTCTTTTTCACTTTGACTACAACATGACTGTGTGAATTTACTTATCCTGTTTGGTATATGCTTCCTGTATCTGTAGGTTCATTTCTTAGTTCTTAAATATTCTCAGTTCTTATCTCTAAGAATATTGGCTTTCTTCCATTTTCTTTATTCTTTCCTTCTGAGACTTCAATCTTTCTCATTCTAATCCCCATGTCTTTTAGTTTCTTTTAATGTTTTCCATTTCCTTTGTCTCTGTATTTCTTTCTGAAGAGTTATTTCATACCTGGCTTCCAATTTACTTTCTGCACCTATATCTAACATGTGAAACTAACCCTGAGATTGTGATTTCAACCATTTTTCATTTCTAGAAGTTCTATGTAGTTGCTTTTCACATTTGCCTGGTCATTTGTGATCATTTTTGCTGCTGTTGTTCATTCTGTGATTCTTTTATTTCTTTAAAAATGTCATAGAAATTTTCTATTGTCTGATCTGAGGTCCTTGAATGACCTATTTATTATTTCTGCTGATTCTTTCTTTGTTGTATCTTTGTATGTTTGATGATATTTGATTAAGCGCTCCATTTTAATTTTTTGTGAATGTGCAAGATTTTGGAGGCCTAAATTGAGGCTGTCTTCCTCCAGAGAGGAAGATCTGCATTTGCTACTCCCAAGAGTCAGATGCGGGGGTTTAGAGGGACTGCCACACAACTGGGACCACATTTACACCTAGCTTTCCCGTTTCATCTCAACCCCAAGGTTTATTCCTGACCACCCAATTCCTGAATCTCTGGACTGGTTTGGCAATTTGCTTCAGGGCCATCTGTTTTTCATGTTTGTTTATTGCTTGCTTCTAGGATTTTAATTTTGGTGTTTGTTTCGTTTGGGAAGTAAAGATTTCCTTTACTTCCCAAAGGTCCAAGAATACATTAAAAATGAAGTTTACTCAAACTTACTACCTGACCACAACACTGCCAGAGAAAGGTAGAGGCTTCTAATTCCACTTTTCCCATGGCCAGGGTGAGCTTGAAGCTCAAGTCTAATATTGACTCCCTTTCCCTCTGCTTAAAACTCTTCGAACGCTCCTTCCAGTCAAGTCCAAATTCCTTAGTATAGCACTGAAACCACGACGTTACTTACTAGTGTCTCTCTGGCCTTTTCCCCAGGAACGCTATGCTCTAGCTTTCCGGAACTACTGTAAGTACTCTAATGCATCATTTTTGCCTACTGGCTTTTGCACACACAGTTCTGTCTAGAAGAACAAATACTTTTTTCCTCAACTCCTCCTTGTTCTTAAGGATTGAGTGTAGGGGTCACATCTTCCATGTAACCCTCTCTGACACTGTCTATCCTCTACTCCACCCTCTGGGTTAGGATTCTCTCCTGGGTGTGCCTATGTATATATACTCCCCCTGTCACTTATTATATCACATTGCAGTGAACTGTTTGTCCTCAGTAGACTATAAATTTTTAGAGTATCTGACTGACACACAGTATTTCTCAATAAATGTTTCTTGAAAGCATAAATTTATGATTGAAATACATTAACCTGGCAAAAGCTCAGCTTTAACCATAAATATCCCTAGACATATCCGAATTTCCTGAGGGCCTGATCTTAGGCTCAAAGCCGGGTTTAGTTCTCTCCACTGCCTGTCTCATGGCTATTTCGTCCTCTCTGTAACTTCTCTTTAAGGAAAAAGGTGGTTTTTGTTTTTTTTTTCTTTTTAGGGGGGTGGTTAATACTTTGTTTTATATAACTTAGTTGCCTAATTAAGGTTAAACTATAACTTACTTCAGAATGTATAGTTTACTTAGATATAACTTTTACATAATCCTGGTGACTATACATCAACAGGTGTACAAACATTTCAGCTAGTATTAAAGTGACTAGAGGCAAGTTTTCTTTTGCTTTTCCATCTCTTCCTGACCTTACAGCTTCTGTTTCAGTGATAGTGGTGTCAGATTTTCAATAGAACTATGAGAAGCATTGTAAATAAACAATTGGAGACCAGGATATAGAAAATGTATGTTTTTGAATATCACCCTTTCCCATCATAGTATCTCATAATATGTAAAACTCTTCAAATGAGTTTTTAAAACTCATTTCTTTTTATTAAGTCAAAAAGTATAAAAATACACATGTGGAGTTTTAAAAAATAATTATAAATCTAAGGTCTATTTTCCTAGAAATATGTCTAGCTGCCTTGATGAATTCTCAAACCATCTGTAATGAAGACTCTGTGTTAAAGTGCTAATGCTTAAGTATGCAGAATGATCTAGCACATATATATGAAAATTCACCATTCGAACATCAAAGTTAATTACCAAAGGCTATACACATCAGGGAAAAGAGAAAGAAAAATTTTAGGATCTACTAAAACAAATGGAATTGCACATTGCCTCATGGCCAACAGAGAATCTTGGAGGAGTAGCAGAATGAGATCTTTGGTTAGTGTACTTTGTTCTGTCTTAATTATAAAGTAATATATATATGATTGTAAACAAAAAAAAAGAGAAAAAAGAAAAAAAGATCGTATTATAGAAACATATAATTTAGAAAGTAAAAGTCTCCTATGACCTTATTCCCTCAAGATAACTGTTTAGTGGGTATTTTCTAGATTTCATATATTCTATTATGTATTTATTAATATTATTCGTAGAAATGAGATCCTACAGAGTGGCAACTCTTTCACTCACCCATTATTTCGGGTATCTTTCCACATCAGCAAATATAGACCTACCGCATTCACTGTAATGGCTTCACAGTACTGCATTTTAGATGCACTGTAATTTATTTATCTGAGCTCTTACTGATGTACATTTGAGTTGCTTATAGTTTTTGACCATTATAAAAAATGCAATAGAGAAATACTCATGTTTGTGTATATTTCTGTTGAATAAATTCCTAGAAGAAATTTTTGAGTCAAAGATTATACATATTTAAAT